GTTGCAGAGCTTTGGTGTACGTGGATATAGCGGCGGCTGCTTATAACTTGACTCGACTCGTGTTAACGCTGTTAATGGCGGGGAGATCATATCGGAGGTCAACGTCGTCGTCGTCGGAGACTCTGTTGAACGCTCCCATCGTGTCCTGGGGCGGCTACGTATTAGACCAGGTAATTAATTAATTTTGATTCTCCGATCTATGCTGTTTGAAAGTTCGTAATTTTTCTCCGCCGGCGGTGAGCCTGCGTCGGCGGGATAAAGTGAGACAAGTTATGGGCTTGTTGTTTATTTCATAGACTCGTACTTGTACTCATTTATCACGCCCGACGCACGTGGCCCAATCCAGTAATATATGTTGGTAAATTCATGACCCACTGGGCTTGATTGGCAAGATCCAGCCCATGTAAATTATTATTAAAAAAAAAAAGAAAAAGCAAAAGTGAAATGGTATCTCGAACTAATGATTGGTTCTAACAATTAAATCGGTTGAAGAGTGCAACTTAGATTTAGTTAATATAACTTTAGCATACAATTTTTCTAACCATTCTGTCCATTAACCTTTGGCCTTAACCAAATTCTTCGGCTGATCTCTATTTCAAATGTAAATAGAAAAAATAGTGCTAGTAAAATGGTATCGAATTAATTATTTGTAACAATTAAATCGTAATACAAAGTCAAGCAGAGAGAGTATCGATGACTGAATTATGTGAAAATTATGTTCTAGTGGAAAATAATTGGCAATTCACTATAACACAATAATCGGTTGTAACAACTGAACTGTGTGTTTTAGATTTAAATGATACTGAGTTCTGTATGTCATTATTCCTCCCAATTTTGTTACTACCTATGTGGACAAATTAGTCGTTTAGATCTCCATTCAACAGAAGCTTCCATTTCACTTGGATGAAATCTCCTCGAAGAGTACTCAAAATTTCGATATCTGAATCTAGAATCAATTAATGTGATGGAATGTTCTTTCTCTAATACTTGACGGTGTATTTTTGGGCAGGTGGGGGTGTACGTGACCTTTGTGGTGACACTAGCAGCTCTGCAACACTGTACACTGGTGATAACAGGGGAGAAAGAGCTGCAGTGGATGAAATGGTGCAACAAGTTCACCAGATTCTGCCTTCAGATTGGCGGTGGCCTCTTCTGCAGCTTCCTAGCTTGCATTCTCATGGCGCTCCTTTCCTTCGTCTCGGGGTTCCACTTGTTCAGACTCTACTCTCCTACCCGCTTCCTCCGCCTCAAGAAGATGAATACTACTCCGTTGGCGGCGGCGTTGTGATGACCGAACACATGCATGAGTATATATATAAGTATGTACACATATCTTTCTTTCCCAATCTATCAATGCGTGTGGAGAAATTTTTTTTTTTTAATTAATGTGAGATCATGAATGAAGTATGTTAAGCTATGGTGAAATTTTTTGGTTGATTTGATGTAAAATATTTGTGAAATGTGCATTGTTGTTGGTATGTAAAAAAGGTGAGTTAGTCGTGACGCGCTAATCTGATATGGCTACAGCCTACATGACCAATCAAAGATGCTAGGTGTGGACGTGTGGTTTCTCAAAAAAAAAAAAAAAAAGATGCTAGGTGTGACTTGGAGAGTTGGAGTGTGGCATTAGTTGAATTAGATGTCGTTTGTTTGCATTATGGACACTTTCGGAGAACGACAAATTCTATTCCTTCAGATTCGGGTAGTAAGTCAAAATCAAATCAATATTTCTTCGAAATTCAAATATTAAGTGAAAATCATACTAATATTCGGTCGGGTTTCAGATAACAGTTTTTCTTTATTCTTTTTATCTAATGTGTTACCACTCTTTAGTATATTCTTATTTTCCAAGATATAACTAGAGAGAGTACATTAGAAAAGAAACAAAGAAATATGGTCAATCGAGGTACACTCACAAAACAATATACTAGTGAAGACACCCTAACCAATCAGGTTCGATTGGATGGTAGGAAAACAATGTATGTCTATTACCCATAACATTTGAATTCATAGTTTATCCATTAAACCGAACAATTAATTTTAAGTCGAATTTTATTCTATTAATGATTAATCCAATCGAGTTAGACTCTTAAGTGAGTCCATGTTGATGGATATTTAGGCCACCCTAAAACCACTTCTCCCGTAGTGGGCTCTGTCCAAAGAAACCAAACGAAAAGTGATAGCCTCATCCAAACCGTTTGGGCCTTGTACGTAAACGAAACTTCTTACGTGCATTGCAATATTGCCCAGGCCCCAATATTATCGTTTACCAACAAGCCCCATAAACGAAGTCTAGGCCCGCCCATTTTGCAACCAAGTGTGCCGGGTATATAAAACCAGCTCAACCCGACCAAAAAGAAAACCATGTGTGAATTGAATTGGATGTCAAGAAAAACTGCTCTTCCTCTCCATATTACATTTGCCTTTTGACTCTCCCCTACAACTTTTATCATTACAAACTGTACAAACAAATGTCTAAGCTCAATATAGAGGACTTGAACCAGCCTAAAAAGGAAGAAAAAGGGGGGAAAATAATAATAATAATTAATAAATTATATATCTCCCATCTAATTGATTAGCTAGCTTAATTATTATGGGCATATGATGTAGTCGTCGGTATGAAGAGTACTACTCCTCGCTTGGCGATGAAGCTGGTATGGTCCGAGCTTGTTGTGGCATGGCGACGGACCAGAAGGAGGCACCAAACCCCGCGGCAGCCGGCTCTCGAGCAACAAGTAGCTCACCCTGTTCTCGATCCTCAACCCTCTCGAGCCCTCCACATGAGCCGCCAACGTTGCTAGCTGAACCAACACGAGGAGGAACAAGATCGCAACCACTGATCTCAAGCACTTGGAATACGACGTCGTCGTCGTCGTTTCAGACGACATGGGCCTCGCGATTTGGTTGGTGGTGATCAGTGATGAATTGACGCGTGAATGAAAGGAAGAAAAAAACCGTGTAGAGGGGGGATTCGATGGTTGAATCCCCCGACTCTAGATGTTGAAGTTGGGGGTACTGTCTTTTGAGTGAAAGGGAGATGTTGCGATAGTCGTCTCGACACTCTTGGATGTTGATGACGGACGTCAAGTGTGTCGAGGAAACACCCACGTAAACGTCGTTTACGATAATACGTGATTGATCTCTGATATTTCAACGAGAAGGATTCGTGACGAGGGGATTAGTCACTGGTTTTGATAAGCTTGTTTTGTTGTTGGGTTGGAGGGGAATTAAAGGTGAGGAGGAGATGGATGGAGGCAAATGTTGTGAGGGAGGGTATATAATGGGTGAGATGAAAGTACGAGATTGCGGTTTTGTTGGATTGCCGACTGTGTTGGATTACAATTAATCAAATTAAAATAGTGGGAATATGAAGGGAGGAGCTTGAGTTTCTTTTTAAAAGACATTATTTATGAAAATGTGGGGACGAAAATATGATTTTCTATTTTACAAATTAAAAAAAGGTACTTTACTTTTTTATGAGAGTGGTAATATAAGACATATGTTTATATTTCTTGTTTTAAGTACTATTTAACGGATTCAAACAAAGAAATTTTCAGCTTAAAGGGTATATAGGAATTGACCGGTTTGAGGAATTTAGAAGGGGGTATTTGGTAGGTGGGATGTTTATATTTGACATATATTGTAGGTGGAAATTAGTCATGGGTTGGAAAACATATAGCATGCCATCTTGGAACATAATTTTCTTTTATATAAATGGAAGCCAACCTTTTTGGTCCCCTCTTCATTTCATATTTGTCTTGATCTTGCATCTTAAATCAACAAACATGATCCATGCATGCAATATGCATGTTAACATATGAACCAAAAACACTTCGTGTTTCATGCTTTATTATTTATAAGTATTTCACGAGACATGGTAATTAAGATCAAATTGTGAGCATGGTATATTTCTATCTAACGTATATTCATATTCTATTTTATGGTTCATATTGTGAACATGGTATACTCCTATCTATCTATCGAAATTCATACTCTATTTTTTTGTACCAAAGCATATCGAGAGGGGCACCTTTTGTATAATTAGACTCTTAATGACCACTTATTATTAACTACTGACATGCACACACTTAAAACCTCCTTGACTTGACTTTCTTTTCAAGATCGATAAGACACTATGTATGCCATGATTTCGCTTTCTTTGTGAAAGTGAGTTTAGAGAATTACATAAGCTCTGTTCATTTAGAAAAAAACCTACCAAATCTTAGTTGTTTTTTACATGAAAAGATGGTTACTTTCTTAACCATGGTGCCATAAAAATGGAACGAAATGACAAGACAAGATAATGAATATCAAAACTAACACATATTTAAAGTCAAAAGAAATTTGTAGACGGGTAATGAACATATGGCCTTACAACGCTATCATTGCGCTTACTCGCACGAGTTATCGGAGTACCATCAGAAACTTCACAAATCAATCTAAGAATATGAATAGCACGTCAAACAACCGAAATTATATATAACTGACTTTTGGTGGGAACATGCAACTAATAAAGGGGAATAATGCAAGCCTAGCTAGTAAATTCAACTCGTGGGTGCCGACGATTACAAAAGTAATCATGGTTATAACTTAGAATGGTTCAAAAATTGGTGCTTTGCAGCCCTTGGTATGCCAGCAGCAAAATGGTCAAAATCTTGGTGATGATAATTAAACAACTAATCCACGCGAATGACACTACTTGGCTTCACTTAATTAATTAAATAATAAAATGTTGGGCGTGGTTAACGTTAAACGCTGTCATTAGTATAGTATGGCCAGAATTTCCCCTCTCCCCGTTATGTTGTTTTCAAAGGAAAGCACTACGAGCTAGTACTACCACCGGTCAAAATCAAAGTACAAACAACAACACCCAACAATAACCAATTTGTCCATAAAGGAAACAAATTAATTAGGCACATTATTTTACCAATTTGGATAAATCTGACACTGCCATATTTGCATGTTGTGTCTCATTGCCTGTGGCTGCAGATTTTCTTTTTGTGTTTCGAATAATTTATATCTATTATTAAGATATATACCGTTACAAATAAAAATGATTTTTGCTCCTGCAGCAGCGACAACGTCCTTAGAAAAGACTGGGATGGATGCTACTATTGGAGAAAGACTACAATATTCCAAACTAGTTGGGGACATTTGAACAATTCCCGTGATTTTTAGCATATGTTTGGCTCATTTTGATTCTTTTCTTCCTTTGTATTGCTAAATGTTTGAACTTTGAACAGAAAGAGGACAATGTAGCTGCTGGGTAGGCAGCTTCATGGAAACTAATTAAAATGGAGTCATGCATGATAAAGAAATATAGTGTTTCGATCGGAACATATTAATAAAGAAACATTTCATTAATTTAAACGTGATGGTTTCAATCTTTAATATATTGGTCGTAATTTGACGTGTCGTCGTCTACATATTATGATCATCCAGTCCATATCTATACACTTATTTCTCCTTCTCTTCGTCGGCATGTTAAAAAAAGTATGTTTTTGTACCCAACAATCCATGCATTTCTCTCTTTTTTTGGTAAGAATCCATACATTTCTCTGACAGCAGCATCTGAGTTTGTAATAAATAAGCATATTGGTGGTTTATATATCTGAATTTGATCAAATTAGTAATGACTGTTTGATAGTAATACCGCACAATATCGTCAAGTGGGATCGAAAAAGTCTCTTATCAGAGTTTAAATCGGCAGGCGTCATTTAGCTGTATGAAACGATTCACGGTTAAAATCACGTTTCAACACAAAATGTCTTACCGTTAATTTTTCCGGTACGAACTCCGTTACGATTTTACTAAGTTTGAGACTAACTAATTCATGACATGTTAGATCAAAGCATTGGTTTGAGAATGATATCTCGTGTTCAAGACTTCCCAACTCTCGATATTAACCGGTCATTCAAACAAGTGATATACTGAACATGTATATACTCAACTTCATGAGTTGACTTTCATTTAATAGGAAATATAATGAAATGGTTAAAATTCGATAACCGACAACGACATCGGCAGCCGTTAACTAAGATTCAAGAAGGCTTTGCAACTATTTAGATTATTTTAATATTGTATAATCACACCGTGTAGATTGAAACTATTGAATCCTACTCCATTAATCATAACATATAAGTACTTACGTATGAAATGAAACTCATGTAGATCGTTTTGTACCAGAATACATGTACCGATATAATTAATTAGTGTGGAGACTAGCTAATTAATCCGAGAGTGATGGAGTTCATGTAACTTAGACATAGTTACGGTATATAATTAAGTATGATGGAATTCGAGCAAACTAAGGATTTCATCATCGCATTCATTAATTAATTTGAGCATATATAATATGGGCTTTGTGCATCCAATGTATGTAAATAATTTGAGGCGAACCGAAAATTCTCCTAATTCAAGGTTGGCTTGTTAAACAATTATCTAGAATTTGATATGAGATTCAAAGGACCAGTTCGAGTTTGACTCGTTTGTCAATGCAGTAGTTCTGGCTGCTTTGTTTGAGGTCGATTCAATAAGTAAGCTTTACAAATTACAAGTCAAACTGTAGTTCAACTCAACAAATGAGCTCACTGAGTTCATAAATGAGCTAAATAAGTTCGACTTAACGAGTCTGTTTACAAGATGATGACTCAGTAAGTAACCAGTTGTATAAAAAAAAGATTGAATAAAAAAATCGAAACTTATGAACAACTTGATTCATTTGCAAGATTAAAATCACATATCATATTCCATGTAACCATCAACAATTTCGTCATCTTGCTTCGGATGGGCTGAGTTGGGCAAAGCAGTTGAATGGGCTTCTTTTGTATGGGCCCGCAGTATGTAAGATTAGACCCTCGGCTTTGACCGAAAATAAGCCCGTTTCTCATGGACCACAGCGCAACAGATTGAACAGAATATTACCCAATAGAGATCGAGTTATCTAAGCCCATTAAGGGAACTTGTGAGTTGTGAGGGAAGTCATAAAACAACTAATCTCGATAATTTTAATGGTTGGAAAACATCATGCATGTATAGAATTTATCACTTTCTTACACACTTTCTCAAACGAAAACCAATTTAATTACGGGTTTGAAGGTTGCATAACCCACCATACTCATGTATTTTAAATGAACTGTTAATATTGAGAGTCTTGAGGACTACAACACGTAACGTCACTATCAAAACTAGCTTTGGCATCATGTCATAAACCAACCGGTCTCGATAACTAGAGTTGTTGGGAGAGCCCATATATGGATCTTAACCACTACCTTACAATCGACCAAATTTTAGCCTAGTAGTATTTGACACAACAACGTGATAAGGTGTTAGGTTTAATTCAGTGTATACATACACACACTCGATCAGTTGTTTGTTTCCCCCTCTTACATCTCATGTAGCCTTCGTAGTTAAAGGTATCTGAGACGTAGGTTTAACAACTTAAATGACGCTCTTCTGATTTTGAGACTTGGGGGAACAAGACTTATGATATCCGATGAAAGGATTTCTCTATCCTCACGACAGTACTCAACTCAACCAGAATTATATTAGTGGATCGATATGACGTGAGAAAATGAAATACCTTAACATGAAAAGACGTACTTTGGAGCGCCTTAATTCACTCGTTGAGGTAAGATAAAGGTGGGGTTTATCACTAGCTAGTACTACATATTAGTTTTAGTGCATGTACTTCATGGCTAATCAAAATCAATTACACATCACTTGAGCTAAATAAGAAAGCATTAGTTTTCAAAAACAACAAGAAAGGACGTTTTGGTTGGTGTGGGACCTTTGTCCCTTTGGTCATATAGAGATTACGTGATGGGAACTTTGCCTAATCGTTGTGTCATTGAACTAAGTAAGCAAGTAAAACCCAAGTACCCAACCAACACAAAACTCTCTTCTTCTTCTTCTTCTCTACATCATAAGAGAAAGAGATATCAAATCATGGAGAAAAAGAATGTTGGAAGTGGGAATGGAGACATTATCTCCGTGGAGTCATCCCCCTGGCTTGCCCCAATTCATATAATAAGTTAACTAACCTAGCTACAAATCAAAAAGTCCTATATATTGTTGTTCTTGTGCTTACAAGCTATAGCTAGCTAGAGTTTACATCATGTTTTCCATGGTGTAATTTGATACTTAATTAGCTAGAGTTTATTATAGATCAGTCACTTTGTTAAAGAGATAACCATGTTAAGTCAAATCATCATCATGTTGCTTTGGCGTGTATGAAAAAAGATGAAGGATCGATGTCTACAACACGACTTATGAGCGGAAAAGTATGTTTGTACTTAATTAATCTGAAAAACATTTGTAGTACATTTGTAGAGTAGAGAAAAGTTATTGGAAGAGGTACAAGAATGAATCAATCTTAGATCATTTCATTGCATATACCTTCAAACGAAAATCAACCTATTAGTGCTTTGAAATTAGTTGATTTAAACACATCTCTTGTTCATTATATTGTTTCTTGTATAATGTAAAGAAATTAACAATATTTAACCTTTTGCTTAATGGATTTGGAATTATGTTTTTTCCTCCTATCGATTCAAGGATTTCTAGGGAGAACAGAGAGAGTCTATCCTCTAATTCGAAGCTACTATCTCCAGATTTGGAGTTTAATTGTTGGTTGTTGCAATCCCTTGCAAAAGGGTACTGCTGAAAGTCAATTACCACTATATCAAATGAACTGAAACAAGTGTGATATGCTTATGTGGAGAGTTACAGTAGATATGTCATTTCTGTTGTTCAATTAGAAATGATAATGTTTATGTTGAGATCTTGCACAAATTCACCGTATATTACTATATTATGCTTCAATAAATGTTACGGATTGAGCTGCTATTAGATTGAAACTAAACAAACTACTATTCATTTGATTATCAAATGCTCTGATGTGTATATTAAGGATTCACATTCATACCTACGAATGATTCAGTTTTTGGAAGAGAAGTCTAACAACGAATCTTTATGATGATTGACCCTTGCACATATAACGTTGGTTTTGTCTTGTGGTTTTTGTTGCGGTTATTCTAGTAGTTGTTCCCTTGGCAAAACTGATCATTTGACAAAGGAATCATACTTGTCGTTCAATGGAACAAGTTTCAATGACTTTCGTGAAATCATCAGTTACAAACATCTTTTTGTTCAACTGTGCATCCACTCATCTCTCCAGAAGAATCAGGACATTCACACAAAGGTCAACTAATTGAGTAAGTTGTTGTTACCACTTGCACTTTCAACCAGATAATGTAAGAAATATCGTTTACTAAATTCGAACCCAACACCGCTAAGTTGGACACTTCATCCAAAACTCATACGATAATATAGTCCATTGGATCAATTTGATTCTAGTGACCCCGGCTTCCGTAAAAACATTAGCGGCAGGATGATCAACCAATCATAAACTTGAAAAAATTTGAAGAAAAAAAAAAGAGAAGAAGAGATTAGTTTCATCACTAGTACACTATGCACGTGCGTTTAAACTTTATAGTCTTAAGGACAAGTCAAGCTGACTGCTGAACTCCTCTTGAACATGGCTCTCTCTATACCCCATAGCCACATACCACGAGTTACGATCACGATCAACCGCGAAGTTCGGCTCTTCATAACATTCCTGCATGGCCTCCATATCTCTGGAGCCACGTGCAGACGAAGAAGACATCTTCGTCCGCACGTGGCTTCTGTTCCATTGATCAGCAGCAGCAGCAGAGTTCGAACCCGCATAAGCGCCCCTCTTGGCTCCGCCGGCAGCATGACGAGCTGCTCGAGCCAGAGCCGCCGCGGTGGACGAGCTGTTGCTGCTGCTGGTCATGATCTCGCGGCTCTTCTTAGCCAGGGTGCGCTCGAGCTTGTGGGCGTTCTGGTGGCCGCCCAGGGCTTGGGAGCTGTAGAACTTCCTCTGGCAGTAGTTGCAGGAGAAGACACGAGGCTCGTGATGAGCCGGAGCAGCTCGTGGGGATGAAGTCGTGGAGGAAGAGGAAGATCGGTAAGGGTCGAGGACGAGGTCGAGGTTCACCACCTGGCCATAGTACTCGTGATCGTGGTGGTCCATCGGGTGGTGGTGGTGGTGGAGGCTCAAGTTTAGGGAGGTGTTTGGTTGGAAGTGATGAGCATCCATTGGGCTAGCTAGCTAGCTAGCTTGTTATATATAAAACTTGTTAGGAATATATGAGAAGTTATATGGAGAAGTTGAAAGAGAGTTGTGTATTTGGAATGGAAGTTTGTGTTGGGACTTGGGAGGTTATGGTGGTATATAATGGAGTAGGGAGAAGAGGGCCACTATTTGGTTTGATGTTCCTACAACCTTATACGTATATAGTTGAGTAGGGAAAGTGAAGGACAAAGTGGGATATATATTGGCAATTTGGCTTGTTGAGATAGATTGAGAGAGGGACATGAGAGAGAGAGAGAGAGAGAGAGAGAGAGAGGATATCAAGTGGGGAATCAAAGAAGCTGTCGCCTCTATTAATGGCAACACTGTTATCCCCTGTCGGTCCATCAAACGTTCCAATGCCTCCTAGCTCCCATTACATTATTTACTCCCTCTTTTTTCTTTCTTTTAATAAGGGCAATTAGGGTGGTGTGAAAATTCAAATCCACTAATAGTTTGGGTCTTAAAAGATTTATGGGTGGGTTTGGATCGACGTTGGATATATCTATGTTATTTTGTGGGTAAATTGATTGATAATATTGAGAGATGTTGGCACTTGAGAATGAGATTTTCTCGATTAGAGAGTTTAGTATGATGTGGAGTAACATATAATTTTTCCGATAACTATAACATGTTGAGAAAAATTCAAATATGAAATGTTATTATATAATTTTGTTTTTGTTTCTGTTAGCTTATTATTAATCATATATATGTACATTACACATGACATGGTCACCTCTCCCAAGTTCCAAAAGCTCTCTTTCCTGAACAATCGATTAAGGAATTCAGATTTTTGTATAGTTTGCATGAAGAATCGAGGAAAGGTCATCAGTAGTCACCTGACTCAAGGGCCGCAAAATGAAAGCCGCCGACAAAATGCACAATTATTGTAATGAACGAACATTGATCCTTTGTGGGCTTACCTTACTTTTGAACTTGATACTATATGTTCCTTGAAATTAATTACAAACCAAAGTTTTGCCATCTACAATTAATTTAGTTCTTTTGTAATTAGTTATGAACATGAATGATATAAGATCGATTCTAAAATCAAGTTCTCTTAATAAATCGAGTTATATATATATCAAATGGTTGTTTTACGTTATTTCAAAGTTTCCGATTATCATAAGATTTTTTGTTCGAACCTCGTGACCCGATCCGTTGATTTAAGCACCCGACGTGGTGGGTACGTCGTACGTTCCAATCTTCAAGTTAACTAATTGATTTTCGGTTGAGAGGGGAGTGTAAGGGAATGAAATACAATCCATTCTAAAATCGGCCTAACAACAATTTGAAGTTATTGAGATCAACTGATTTCCAACACGATTTATTAGGGCATCTAGTTTCTTGACATAGTAGCTAGCAGAGTTTGTCATGATCGGAAGGAAATCTTATTCGAATTCTCGCGACACTCAATATTAACAGTTGATCGTAAGCACACAATATAATTATAAATTTTTGCTAATTTCAAAATGATGGGTTAACTTTCATTTGAGACCACGTATAAAAAAAAACAGTATACAAATCATTCTCCTAACAAGATATACCTACATAGGGTACGTACTAAAATGAAATTGACCAAGAAAGTATTCTTTTTTTTTTCTTTCTCTGATACTATCTTTCACAATAATTTATAATTTGAAGTAGTTGAATAATAGTTAAGGGGCGAACATGACATGAGGGATACAGTGAACAGAAGCGTGGTTGATTAGAAAAAAGGGTCTCCCTCCGATGAACTGATCGATTTGCTTTGCTTGCACCATGGCCAGTGCCTGCTGCTGCTGCTGCTGCTGCTGCCGCCTCTGGCCTGAAGAATCAATCAAATATATGTTCCCATACCAAAACCCACTGGGTAGTGGCAGTCAGATCTCTCATATCCCAAAAGATTTGATATCTTTGCTTTGCAGTACAAATTTAAGTACGTACCCTCTAGTAGTGGAAGATGAGATTATGGGAATTCATTAGGTATGTAAATATGTGTATACAAATGCTTGCCCTAGATGGTGCACCGACGAGCAATTATAAAATAGATTATCAATTAATTAGCAAAATTGTATCTTATATCATCTTTTAGGTGACTATATTAGATCGGATTTGGGGTTCATATGATGATGACTTGATGATCAGTGATGTGCACTAGTCCTGTCCGTCGTTTGATATACAATTCAGTATCGCGGACATATAATTCCATGACGTATACACTAGAACAGGCATACCTATATATGGGTCTTTTTTCTCTCTAACCTGGTATGTTAAATCGAGCCATCTTGTGTTGTTGTAGATCGTTTTCTGATAATATACTTACTATCATCTTTCTTTTACTTTGAATACTCTTTTTCTATGTTGCGATCTGATCAATTTGTTCCTTCGGGCCGGTTCTTCAATCAACAACATCGAGTATGTATGCGCCCTGTTGCACAATCTGCTCGTTTGTTATTATTAGGCTTTTGGAGATCGTTTGTACAAATCATTCACCAGAAAAGAAAACTTATCATCTAACTAGTCATGGAATGCTTTCTTTTCCAGATGTGGTTGCCACCATATAGCACTAGCTCTCTAGCTAAGCTACAACCTCATGTTGAAGTCCTAAAGCTATATATGTACGCTTGCAAGAGAGCAAAAGTTGATGTCATGTCCCAAAGACATGCAATATTTTGTTTAAGGTAAAGACTTGACCATCATAACCCCAATCTTCTCAATATATCACATATGCATGCATTGTATGTTTGTTAAGAAGGGCAAAGAATGAAAAGGAGGGCTAACTCTCCCGACAGTGGGAGAACCATTTCTGTTGAGGCAATTGAATATGGACTCAGAAATGACTGCACTACAAAAGAAATGAAAGAGTAACTTCTCACCACCATAGTATATACATTGTAATGGCATCACATTGGTCTTCCAACAACACTCAACCGTACGTCCACCACCACTACAACTTCCAATGGTCCATCCATCCACCATTTGAGTTTGATGTCATGAAGGAGAAAAATGAAAAGGCAAGCTAAGCAAGCCGGCCAAGTTGCCAAAGTTTTCAGGGCAGTATTGTGTTGGAAATTGCAGAGGCAACACTGAGACTGAGGGTTGGTGGTGGCCGGTGGGGAAAGGAAAAGGAGGAAGAAAAAAGATTGCAGAGATTTGGTTGGTCTCGTGGTAATATGGTGATGAAAAAATATTAACTGAGTGATGAGTTGGAATGTTTAGGTCAAGTTACCATACACGGTCGAAGAAGCTTTTGTGGAAGTATCGATCGGTAAAATTCAATTAAATTTTGTAATAGTTGTTTAATGGTTCGTATGAACTGATTGATATGTTAGATTATTTTGATCATTGATCAGTTTTACTAATAGGTAATGTTTCCTTGTGTGGATTGAATACAAAGGGGTTGCGTTTTGTATGCATGGTAGTATCATGAGCATAAGATTCATTCTTAAGACATTTTTCAACATCTCAAATTAGTACGAGTTGTTAGTGTGTGGTTTATGATCCAAGATTGAACCTCTCCCAACAACTCGAGTTATTGGGATCAACTGGTTCATGACACGACTAGCCATTCTTCCACATAGTATATGAGTCCATAATGATCCAAACATTACCTTTCTAAATTGCAATGATGTCCCCCTAATTCATATGAACTCTTTGATTTAAAAACTTCATGTATGCTAATTCCTCGCAATCATCAAACTCGTTAATTGAACTTTCATTTAAACTGATTTACGTGTGACTAAATTATATAAGATACGTTTTTTTTCCGAATTCGACATCCTTTTCAAAACAATTCCCTCAAAACTCTTGAATTTTTATTTTATTTTATTGTGATGTGTTCTTAATGGCGCCCACAAGGGAGCGGCAGATTGGGGTTGCTGTCCTCCATAATGTTAACTAATGGCTACCCAATATTTTACCCTTTCCACTCTATAAATTATTGAGGCACCGAGGTTTCAGATTAAAAAATACTTGCCTTGCTCCTGACTCCTATGAATCATCTGTTCATCTTCTTCTTCTGCTGCTGCTATGTCTGCTCTGCAAATCACATGCGGGGCTTGAGATATGAAACCTGTTGGACAGCAGACCATAGTTTTTTTACAACTTAATTATAATATCCATTCTGCTCCACTCTGAACAGACACTCTGTGTTTCTGTTCTCAATTAATGTTTACTAGCTCAAGTTATGTATGTTCTTGTTCTGACCCATAAATTGTTCCACACAACAATATCAATCAATATCCACCATGTATCAGTTCCGTAACTTTCTGCAATATTAGTTCGAGTGAATTGTTACCGACTTACCGTGCATGATTTGGATGACTATCATTTCACTAAACACCAGAGTTGAATCAATGGCTACTTCGTCAGTGACAGAAAATATCGATGTCGATGCTCATTATATGGAAGAAGAAGAAAAAACGAGACACTTCTTCCGACACATTCACGTTGTTGCTAGTTGTCCTACATGTTGTACCTTTTGGTTAGAATATTATAGGTTAAATACGTGTATCATAAGAGTAATTTTGATGCAAACTATATCCAATCGTAACAAAGACATGAATCTCCTGCCCATTTAACCATTTGGCTCAGGTAGTTTCCCCCTCGCTACCTTTTTCTATAGGTTCATCTCCCATTAGACCAAATTGATTATTGTCTTAAGGCGACCAATCATGAGACTAATGATGCATTAGGAACGTGATGATGATGGTGGTGGAGGGTTTCAAATACGTCTATCATAAGAGTAATTTTGATGCAAACTATATCCAACGTAACAAAGACATGAATCTCCTGCCCATTTAACCATTTGGCTCAGGTAGTTTCCCCCCTCGCTACCTTTTTCTATAGGTTCATCTCCCATTAGACCAAATTGATTATTGTCTTAAGGCGACCAATCATGAGACTAATGATGCATTAGGAACGTGATGATGATGGTGGTGGAGGGTTTCAAAGATCTTTCAAGTCGGCTATGATTGCGCCGACCG